GCAGAAGCATTCTGTCTTGGATAGGTGAGCAACAAGCACAAATAAAAGCAGAGGTAAGCGCTCCTCCGAACAAACTTCAGAAAAGGTTTAAGAAACCTACACGGAACGGAAGGACACTGTGCAAACATCTCAACGATCAAGGAGCATGTGTCCTTCTCCATCGTGAAGCGAGATCGCTATCATTACGAAACGTGAATACTTTATGTAGAGAGGACGGATTCGCATTTCCACTTAACACTAGCGGCAAACCCCCTCATTACTTTTTTGAGGAGGTCTTTTTGCAGTTCCCATTTCAGCATCGTAATAATTACCGCATTTTTAATAAAACTTTCAAAGGGCTGAAGATGAATCACAGAAGGTCCTCAATGGATTGAGACAATGACGATGTTATCAACAATGAGATTGATAGGAAAAACGCCCAAAAGCAGTACGCCCAAAGGTTTGGAAATACCCTGAAACTCCGCTCGTAACAAGATAGCACTGCATGACCGTATCCAAGGACATCACGGAACGCACAGTGTCGAAACAGTTGGCATCAATATTTGATCTACTTGGACTCGATGCTCCCGTACTACTACTAAAGCGTTTTTGCATCTTCACATCTTTGCGGAAGGACGAGTACAGTTACAGCACAGTTGGATGATGCACCTACAATGGCGCCCCATCGACAGCGAAGTTACCACAATTTGTAAAGATTTCGTAAAAGAAATTGCTAGTTGCAGCAAACTTATACTACACATGCTTGCCTTCACGGATGCAGTTTGCAATTGTCACATGGGTGTATGTCAGCTTGAATACACTAACAAGGTGAAAATGTAGTTGGGGAGTGCCAGCGCCCTTCCGTCTAGTTGCTCTGCGTCTCTGACCAGGCGGCAGAGTTCCTAGAGCCCGCACTGGAGCGCGGAAATGGCCTCTTATAGTGATAGGGAATGTATTCTTTAACAAGGGGAGGGGCACCGGGATGGGTGAAAAGTAAAAGTTGTGCAAAAAGTTGAAATGGTTCAGAATAGCCCTTCAATAATAACTTTACTCGACGCGTGCGGTGCGTCCACGGTGCGCAATCTACTTAGCGCAGTCAAACTCCTCAAGTTGAACCCATTCCACTCTTTTCTACTTTATCACAACTTCCTCTTGTCCTTGCACTACGATTACTTCTCACCCACCCCGGAGCTCCTCCCCTTGTTAAAAAATAGATTTCCTATCACTATTAAGAGGCCATGTCCGTGCTCCAGTGCGGTCTCTGGGCACTCAGCCGCCTGGGTTAGAGACGTAGAACAACTAGACGGAAGGGCGCTGGCACCCCCCAACTACATTTTCACCCACTAACAAACCTGGTAATGGCAAGCGCGGATACGCAGCGATTCCTGTGATTTACGTTCAGGACCACTAGGGCTATGCACACTAACGCGTGCACCATGCCATGCTCACGACTGCTTACCTACGATTTGTTAGAGGACGAACATAAACAGTATCGGTTGAATTCCCTTTTCTATTCGTTTCCCCATCAGGTGATATTCCCCAAATCTGATGCCGCTTTGTGGGTATTGATCTCCTGACACTAATAAGTGGTCGTGGAACTGTTTCCATTCTGACCTTCTCGAGTTCCTAGTGGTTTGATTGTCCTCAGGCGGGTTCTAATTTTTAGTCTGTGACGTCATAAATAGACCGTATATTAATCACCGGACCAATATAAAGAGCACCAGTTGACTTTCCATTTCATAACTGTTTTCTCACCGCGCTCCTGTGATCTTCACGCTCTTGATTGTGCCTACGTGACTTTTGAGAGGGCACACAAACGGGCATACAAACGGACACACAAAGTTAGCGCTTTATATATAGCGAGGATAATATGAGTTAACAGTATGAAAAATTTCTCTATCTAACACGGAATTTTGCTCTGCTCCGACGCCTTTAAGAACTTATCCAAGGCTTTTAACAGCTCCATCTAGTCTCAAGCAAATGCCACGCTCATATAAGTGTGGCAACACGAGCAACAGGTATGTCGTTTGGAATTCAGAACTTGTTTTGCGAATGTTTCTTGAAACTTTTTTTACAGAGAATGAGAAAGCACAAAAGAAGTAACTGGTGCAAGTTGGGGAACGATCTAGTGATTTCCTGAAGACAAATCACAAAAGACCGTTTGTTCGTAAAATTCTGGCCACTGCTGTAGATGATTCATTCCAGCCTCTCCTTATCATTTTTACCTAACTTATAATCTCATCTGGAAACACGATGCATCATGGGAATTTCCATTATTCGTATGTTTTTACTGCTAATCTCGCATTCACAGTATAGGGGATGGTTGGAGTAAACTTTTTTTTTTCTACATAATCTAACCATCTACTTCGATGGGAGAATTCCTTTCATTTCTCATCATCATATTGAACTGCATTGTAGGAATTAGTATAATGAAACGATGAATAAAACGATTCACCCAAATTTTGAGTTCGAAAGTTTTTGAAGCCTTGCGTGGTAGGATTGGACAATTGCAGCTATACTTATATACGTCGACTTGGAACTTCAAAAGCAACGGTCTTCAGAAGATATGCAATAAATTCACTTTTGTGAAGGGAGTTCTCTTCACAGTTCAGTTCACAATTCACTTTTGCTCATTTCTTGGCTATGACGAATTTTCCACATCCTGAAGTGCTATTTCAATCATAGTTCATCTACTACGAATTAGGTTCTACTTACATTACCTCTTACAGGGAAGGATCCCAGTTTGAAGTGGCCATTTGGAATGAGACCTATACCGCTGGCCGTGTTTTTCGATGCTGATCGCAAATATGTTTTCCAAGTTTACTGGACTGTGAAGTGGAGTTATGAGGTGGTTGTAAGCGAGGCTTAACATAAGCGAACCTAAATTACATGAATGTAGCAGTATCTCAGCGGTGGCCTGGAGCAGTGGTAAAGCTCATGTACGAGAGACTGTTTCTTGTTTTATGGGGGCCAGAATTTCGCATCTCATTGAATGTTCCCTTGTGGCCTAAAAATTCATCTGATGATCGCGTTGATGAAAATTCATCTGATGATCACCTATTGCGTTCTACGGCCTTTTGATGGTTGTGGTGCCGGTGAAACCGTTTTCACCACATGCGGATGGTCCACAGATGAAAATCCCTACCGGCCAACCAAGCCTTCCATTCATCCAATTTGGCTAATTGGTGTTAGACTCGTCTGGATGGATGAAAGCACTGCCTATACACTGAATGGCCACTGCGACTCTTTGCATAGGCCACATAGGCAGTCTAAGCGCCACTATGAATCGAATGCAAAGCGCATCCCAAAGGCAGAGTTGCTCAACGCCGAAGATTCGATCCTTTTAATCCTCTATACTCACGATGAAATTCACAGCGATGTGTCAACTCCGCAATCTCTGGAGGGAAGTAGATGAAGTAATGCGGCTGCTCTCTGCAACCACCAGTTCTTTCACCATTATGCCTTGCTTTTCCGTTGATGGCCCTTAGGCCAGAACTCTTTCGTGGTTTCAGAGTGTGTACGATTGTGCGTAGCGGCTCCGAACACTCCGAGACCAACCTTGGGCTCGTAGACATCTTTCCAATATAATGAAGCTATTTGGTCCGCTTTACCCTTTCAAGAGCGGGCGAAGGTAATGAATATTCCTGTTTGAACTGTGAGGCTAATCCAGACAATCACAACTCATTTCTTGGCAGTTCAAAAATATGGTCACCACCTAACACGTGGTAGCTCTCATTCTCAACTTTTGCTTATACTTTCTTGACTTAGCTTACTACTACCGGCCTACCTTCAGTTCAGTGCTGTTAGATTTGGAGATTTTCCCTCTTCTCCAAGACACGTTGCCGGCTAATTAAGCACTCACCAGGGTCATTTTGACATGCCTACACAATTCTGTTTTCGCCCACATGCAAAAAAAAAACAAGCGATATCCCGTGGTTATTGTAAGAGCGGTTTCACCGTCACCACAACCATCAAAAGGTCGTGGAACGCGAAATCGACACCAAAGGAACTTCTAGGCTACAAGGAAAAAGTTCATTATAATGCGAATCCCTCGCCCCCACAAAACCCGAATCAAAGACTGTCGCGCCTGAAGCGCCATCCTTACCGCTGCTCCAAGCCACCGCTTTGAAGCATACATGTAATTCAAGTTCGCTTATGTTGGGCCCCAGCAGAATTCACCTGATAACTCCATTCAGAGAATCGTTCGGCAAATTTGGAAAGCAGATTTGAGATAAGTATCTGAAAACACGTCTAGCGGTTAGGCCTCATTCTAAACGGCCACTTCGACTTGGGATCCTTCCAGGTAAGTAGAACCTGACCGCACGGAGCACTATGTGCAACACGGACATTCTAACAAGAAGCACATGATTAGGGTGTAGGTATGGACAAACGCCAGCGCGTATTGCCAATCCGTAAAGACTACTCTGGTGATGGCCTCCATTTGCCACTCAGAAGCCTTGACCATACACGAGTGAGATAAGAATAGCAATGACTAGGCAACACCACCACGACTAACCAACACCACCACATACAGCAATAGCAGGTGCCGACCCAAACCCATGTACTCCAATCACGAACGAAAATTTTCGGTATTGCGGACCATAGTGGCATTAAAGACGAGATTGTGATTTGTTATGAAAGCATTGTCAGATATATTTTTTTGTCTGTACAGTGCTCGTTCCGTAAAGGGTTTAACTTGACCTTATTCAACTTGACTTAACCATCAGAAATGAACAGAACCATAATTCAACGCTTTGTTCCACAGCGGTTTACACTCACACACCTGCACAACTACCCATTTCACTAACTACAGAAATGTTAAACATCTTGAAAACATTGAAAAATCAGCCCTTTCAAAATCTATTGAAGCATCCCATACGTCGCAGAGGTGGCGATTGCGTTGATGGCACCGCTGCTACGAAGGAGTTGGTGACCATATGGACTTCTTTCTACATGCAGAAGGACCTATAAATTCGTTGGGAGGATCATGCTTCAGTTTCAACCCTGGAGAATATTCCATCTCACTTGCACATCTTGCTCTGGAGCCAAGTGGCGGATGCGGCGCGATTCGAAACCGAGTTAACACAAGCGGAACCGCCTGTAAACGACGCCAACGAGCTCTGACTCGCTCCCGACGTCCACTGTACAGCGACAGGCTTGGCTTTGTATGTCTGCGCTAGTTGCTTCATGAACTGAATTGGATCGGCGTCCCAGCTGAAAACGAGTAGAATGACTCCCATCTCGACAGAAGAGCCCTTATGTCAAAAGTGGAGCTCTCTTAGTCCCATTGAAAAGTGAGAATTTTCAAAAGGATTATATGGGCGCACCTGGTTGTTCCTGTCACGTAAACAACAACCTTGTTAGCAGTAGGATAATTCTGGGAGAGGAAATTATTGGTTATAGCTTGCAAGGAGCTGAATAGAATGCTTTGATTATTATGCATCCAGCAATGAAGAAAAGAACATACAGCTTGAGCGTCTGTCCCGTTGATCCGTCCTGGGAGAGAGTCTTGATGGTATTGAGAAGCGTTTGTCTATGTAAGCCATCATTTTGTTAGCTGAAGGATCGAGCAATGATGAAGTAGTCTTACCTGTCCTGGCCTGAGTGGAATGCTGTTGCATAGAGTTCAGAATCGATAGCTGTGGCCACCAGCGCAAACTGAGTCTGTCCGTCTCCGATCGCAAATGGACTCACAAAGTCGAGAAGCATTTGTTTCATCTAGGATTCATTCTACCTCGTAGTTTACGTAGTTGGAAGGGGCTTAGAAACATCCATTTGTTAACGAGAAGTAAGCATTTTTTCATTGGGTATGCCCGGAGCGCTGGATGAAGTATCCGAGGAGAAGGCAGAATCAGTTGTGTTGTTGGTGTTCGAGACTGAATCATGAAGCAGAGAGCCGATGCGATTCTATCAGGCTAGCCGTGTTGTGATGAAATTTACATCAAGTCTTTCAGGAGTTTGATAGACACATCTATTGATAGACAATAGACAGCGGTAGCTTAGTGCTTTGTTTCTATGAGCTTCTAAAAAAGCAATCATAAGTGAACGTCGTCACAACAGAACCATCGTATCAATCTCAAGCTGACAGAAAGGGTGTGGTGCAGTAGATACGAAATTGTCGCGTCGCAGCGAGAGAGACGTCGCGCGCGAAGGAATGTAGCAGGGTGCAGCAGCAAGTAAGAGAACAAGAACAAAAGAACTAACAGTAGAATCATGCCATAAGTAATAATCGCCTAGCGATTGAACTGTATGAAGAACGCTAGAACTGTTGTATAACGAGGCGAATGGTCCGCGACAGCCGCGTGTGGCGGATCGATTACACAATACCCTTCCTACTGCCCGTCTGCCGACAGGAAGACTTCAATGTGAACCTAATCGCGTATGACTTGGAGCTACGCCTATTTTTAATATAAAAAAGCAGCTTTTGGTTGAGATGGAATAAAATTTACGTAGAGAGAAAGTAAAAGCCTTTTGAATTGAGGCGCAAGCAACGGGCTATCCTGCACATACTCCTGTTCTTGTTCTCAGACTTTCACCTGGCGGTTCATCATTCACAGATTGGACATCACAGACGCCTCTTTATTTTTACAATTATCTATGACCTCAGAAGAGATCATGAATTCCCACCTGGGCAAAATCGCTAGCGCTAATGGCCGATGACGTATCGACGACCAGGTAAACGTCGTAATTGAGAGCAGCCAAGCGACACGGGACCGAGACGTCCTGGGTTGGCAGTGGTTGAGGGGGTGTCATCGTAGTAGTAGGCATACCGATATTACTGAATCCTGCTTCAGTTAACAAGTGGATACATTATCGATGTAATGGCAACCTCCGAAGGGTTCGAAGAACGAACTTACGGGCAGCCATTCTGGTAGAGCCATTGTGAAACAAACTGCAACTGATTGGTATTGAACGAATAGAAAACGTTGCTGCAAGCAAGGAATGACCATGTCAAGTGTCAAATGATGAGATACGTAGTACTTGGGTACTCGTCACTGATACCTTGGAGTTCCCGAAAGTTGTTGAAGAGCAGAGGCTTGGTTTTGGACCGATTTAGAGCCAAGTCCGATTGCGAAGACCTAAATGACTTGTTGAGCCTTTTAGTATCATTTTCTCAACTTCAATTTTCGTTTCTTTTCTACCATGTTATACTTCTTCTGAACTTGTGCAAGTAGAGAGCTGCCGATGACCGCTGTGCCCGTCCACCTGTAATCATGGAAGGTCAACTAGCGTACATCCGAATGATTAAAACGCAAGCAACTCACGCGTCAGCTGAGATAACGACCATCACATGCTTGAATCCATCACGGAATCCACTCGAAGCCTTGACTTCGGCCTCCTCTTTCGTTAAAGCCCTTGAAATGTCGGAATTAACGCAGCTAATGGGTAATATATGTGCATTTCTTTACATACTGATAAAGCTGTCTATCTCCAGTGCCGTCGTGGGTAATGGAGTTGATGGAATTGATGAGGGTTGAACGATTGTTGCTCGACGATAGGCTTCCGTATGATTTGGCCGTTGACGCATATGTATAAATGGTGACCTAGAGAGAAAGGCCTATTCCAAGAGAATGTGAACGAATTTGGCCAGAGATGGTGATGATATTCATTATTATTACAAATATACACATATGTAGTATGAACAAAAACCACATCAAAAAGACGGAATGATCGGACAAAGACTCTTGATGTCGATCAATGCCATATGAGGGATGCACCTCAGCATTCGACTACCTTTCACAATCGTAGTGGCATAATGAAGTTTTGCTTTTACAAAGATATTAGGTGGCCAACCAATATACAAATCATTGCTTTTGTCCGCCACACAAGTCTGGTACCAATTGCCCGACTCCGACGAGATGGGGGCTTTTTTTTGCTTAGGTTGGGATTGACCCAGGACTTGAACTCGTGACCATGCGGGTGTCATTGGATCAATATTTCACCATATTTTTTGCACTATGTATGTTAATGATACATTCTCGTTGTTCACTTATGGAATGGTTACTTTGTTCAAAAAGTTACATGGGTTTTTCCAGCTGCGATGTTGTTAGCAATTGTTGATGAAACTTTTGAAAGGAGAAATAGATGTTTCACTATAAAAAAAACCTGTTTGGCCGGCAGAGAAGCGTTGAAAACACATATGATCTCGGCTCATCCAGCTTGACAGCGTTCCGGATTGCAACTAGCCAGACATGCTGCACCTAATACCCTTATTGAAAAGCTCCAGAGGTGGGTAACCGTCCCGACCTGATATCCATGTGTTTCGGTCTTGCCGAGAAATCGAAGTCTAAAGAATCGCAAAGGATGGTATCATTCCTACTGCGAATGTTGTTTGGGTGCATTTTTAGGGTGTCCCAAAAGTTTTGAGAAAATTTTGGTCATGTATTTCGCAACCATGCTGCGCAAGAAAGCGCCGAGGCAGAGCCACGGAGAAAAGGTCAGTAAGAGGTCACGCTTAGCAGATCATCATAACAAGAGAACAGTATTGCACTCTATCATTGGAAGTGAGTTATCAACATTTGAATTATTTTCGACTGACACGACTACAGGCGCCTTCTGCTTCATTACTACCGATCTGGTCACTCCGCCACTCAAGAGCGGAATGAATTGCAGTCATCGATGGGCAGTACTGCACCATCCCTCGCCAACTGCTATAGGTGGTACGGCCGCTTCTCTAGAGAGAGTTTCACTTCGACGAAGTGCCACGGAGTGGACGTCCACGTTCCACCAAGACCGAAATTGTCTTAGCCTCCGTCCAAAGCAATCCTTCTCAAAGCTTGAGAGGAATGGAGAGGACGACTTCTGCTCCCCGTTCCGCCACCCACGACATCCTACGCAGACGTCGCTTTCGCGCAGCAATTCTTGCAATCATCCCCCACACCTTGACTGAGAGCGAGCGTCAGGTGCGGGTCGATGTGTGTCGGAAGCTACTCGACCGCAAGCGAACGGTGGATTGGACGGGCTTCATCATCGCTCAGGATGAGAAGTGGGTTCCTTATGATAATCCATAGGAAGTTGCAGTGGCTACCAATCGTCATAAGGCCAGATGCCGTTGCCAAGNGTGGGAAACACGTCGAAAAGAATACGATCTCGTTCTTCTTATGCTCCGCCGGCTTTTTCTACTATAAGATCCTACCTGAGGGTACTGCTGTGACTGTAAGGGTATTCTGCGAGCAGCTGCGGGAGATGGTGTCTGGAGCCCCGGTTTCACACCGAATACAGGGAAAGTTTCTGATTTTGATAAGTCACGCTCGACCACATTATGCTAGGGCGACGGCTGAGGAGCTGGAAAGGCTTGGGATTACCTGGCTGCCCCACCCCCCATATTCATCTGATCTTAGTCCTTATGACTACCATGCTTTCAGAAGCCTGGAGGCCTACACGAAAGGGAAAAAATTCAACAATCGTCAGGAGGTCAAACATGCAGTGGATGAATGGATCGCTTCACGCCCTTCTTCTTTCTGGATGAATGGCATCAGTGCTCTGCCCAATCGATGGAGGGACGTCGTGCTAAAGAGGGCCACTATCTCGATTACTGATCTCACCTTTTTGTTGTAGTATTTTTGTGTTGAACAAACCAAATAAATTTTCTCAAAACTTTTGGGACACCCTAACCTTCCCATACAGCGACTAGGGAGTACTAGCTTCATTCAATGTGGTTCGAAGGGATGTCGGAACTCCTTTCCTATTTCCCTCATTCGCTTTGTCTTTTCTAGTTGTCGCGCGGCTTCAAACTTTGTACGGTATTCACGCTGTCTCCCCACCAATCGATAAGGTACCATATTTTTCGTTCACTACTCTTTTTCTATTGGTTGTTTGAACTTGAACGGTAACTGGTAGCATAAGTAAACACAACATCCAACAAACATGGAACAACTCGCTCCTTGTCCTGTCCTTGTCCTACTATCAACGATCGAGACCTCATAGGGAGAGAAGGAAGTGGGCAGGAATGCCAAATAAAGGGATCTCTGATATAGATTGCGCTCCAGCCATCCTCTGCATTTCTGCGGAACGCGGCGGCTGCGGCGGGCGCGACGCGATTTTCGGGGAGGCGATATCACACCCGGGACGAAGAGGTGAGTTAACAAGCGGAGTGTCAGTGAGCCAGTGCATAACTTCCTGTGTTTTCTCTCAAAAAGTTCCAGTTATTGTGAACTACACTTTTTCACAGTCTAGAGAGAGCTTGAGATGTGGCTCCCTCATGGAATGACTGCATATCAACTACGTAGAGGCTAGAGTCGCCACTGGTATTTACATCGACTTTGCGGCAAATCGACCCCCCAAATTCCTGATCCCTCGATCTTGGTATGGCTGGTATGGCTAACCGCTTTTTCTGCAGTTACAGTGGCTGCTATTCAATCTGGCACCTGGCTACTCCTATTCACGCAGAGGCAGTTCCATTTCAGAAAAAAGTCAAACCTATGGCACTTCTTCAAGCGATTCCTAGTGCTCAATGCCTTGAACTCCCCTTCAAAATTGAAGCAGTGGAACCTCAGGAGACTGCGACATCCTCCTCTCATCGTAAGTTCGTTTGTTACTAATGCTTTCCACCCATGAACACTGATAAAGGCTATTGGACTCACCTGTGTGTCATAGTTGGACAAAGTGAGTTGCGAAGTGAAGTCAAGCAGCCACTGTTTCATCTGAAATCGATCCAGCTGGGACCTATTCAAAATGAGGGAAGTTTTTATATTGATTGATCAAAGTAGCTAACATTGTCGAAGTCCTGTGAAGACACAGCGCTGGAAACGTCGATAACCAATGTGAAGTCTGCATCGATGGCCTAAAGGATTAGATTTCAATGAAAAAGCTGTATTTCATGAGTTAAGGGATACCTGAGGAATACATGTTGATTGAAGACAGATCTTCGATCCAAAAGCAATCGAAGCGAGTGCTGCAAAAGCGCTAATGAAGCGTAGCGCAAGCATAACGAAGCACACTGATAGGTGATATCAGTGAACTCCGAAACAACGAAGGCCAGCTCATCGGGCAAACGGTAAGCGCCACCACCAACAGAAGGTATGTTCCCACGGTTCGGGTCCCGGTTGCCCTATTCCCTTCGTTGAAACTGGTTGAAAAACACATAGAAATGAGCATCGCTGGGGAAGATTTAAAGTAAGAACTATTGAGAGCCATAGCTAGACATAGCTTTCTTCGATCCAGTCTGAGTGGGGAGGGAAATAACGCCATTCACTATAGGGACTAGCCCATAGAATCTTGTTCGAGACCAATTGGGCCGTGTACTATTTGGGGTCCGCTATCGATACAAGTCGGTCCCTATAACAGCAGTTGTGCAGTGCATGACTTTGGGATTGAGCTTGAAGAAACTTTTGAGGGCTATACATGGGACAGGTGGTACCTACATGGCTAAAAACAGGGACTGAAATGATTGTGCAGTGAAAAGGACAGTAATGCAGTAACAAAGTAGTTACAAGAAAAACAATGTGAGCATCCAAGGGCCTGTCTTGTGCTTTGAATCTCCATGCTTTTTGATTCATTGGCTGATCTAGTAGTACGTAAAGGTGAGGATTGGCTTCCCAACGCAAATCGAACCTTTCAGGGATGCACCACTTCATTCGACCTCTACTGACCATGGTAGGGCCCTCCAATGCGTATTAGGCCTGAACAATGACATGCGGTAGTCAGCCGATGAGAAGCCAGTGCTTCCAACCTCTCAAATAGTCTTAAAGCATTCAGCAGCAAGTATAGAAGGCATAATGGGTCCCGCTGGCATCCACCCTGAATCCGTTTCTTGGACCGTGCGTGTAATAGAGCGCCACCTGCCACTCCACCTATTACACGTGTAAGAATCTAGTGTCACAATTGATCACTAAAAGCTTTTGCGTATAAGCCGAGTTGTAACATCACCAGTGGATCAGTAGACAGTACACAGCCGTTGTTGCAGAACTTGGAGATCACTTCTTCCATCAGTGCCTTTACTTATGGGTTGTCTTTTAACGAGCTTTATTGAGTTACCACTTCACTTGGATAAAATGCTCCTGGATTACCTGAATTGAGAAAAATTCAAATAAAATATCCAACGAGGTAGGAGGAGAAAATGCTTCACTGCTAGCTGAGTTAATACCTGAAGTATTGAACCACTTTTTTGAAAACTAACCTGGTTTACCTATTTGCTAGTTACGCTGTCAAGCTCATCACGTTTTTTGGTACAAATCCCATGTTTGATACATCAGCCTACGCAATTCGTCACCATGAGGGATGACAGCTGTGATCACATCAAGGAATCAGAGATGAATCTTTGTCATTAAGCACATAAGAGCTGTCTGTTCAAACACGGTAGTGAAATCGGACCATAGCCGAGGAGTGAGCTTTGTTACGGTCCTCATATAAAGCCAAGGACTAATCTCATTGCTCTCAGCATATCTGATACCAGAATGTTTCATCGTGTGAGTTTTGCTTTCAATTTTTGAATCCCGGAGATCAGCCGTCGTCTCAACTCTATGTCTCCTTTCTTTCAGACTCTCGCTATCTTGTGCATCATCGCCATAGTCGCCTTCGTATTCGCTGATGCTGCTTGTAAAGACGACCTTGGTTGGTTGTTTATTTATTTATTTACTTCACTGCACTCACATATGCTACGAAAACATTACATCATTTTAAGGGTGCAAGAACCTAAATGACAATACAACTTGAAATATTCAATTTCAGGAAGTCATTGCGGTGTGTTCAAATCGTTTTGTCATCATAAAGACTATCCAAAGATCACGATGAAGTGTGCTGCTTCCTGCGGCCTTTGCTAAATCGATGAGCAATTTCTGATTTATCTAACCTACGTAGAAAGTGCTAAGAGTGTTTCCTCCGTGTCGTGTGTGTGTGGTCCGGTTTATGCTTCCGCTCGAGCTGGTCACTCGAGTGTGAAATGGCCGTTTGTAATTGGATTTCGCTTTGATACAGTATGCTGAAATAAATCTTGCATTGCATTGCAGTCGAAGTCCCCCTCTGAATTGGCTCATGAGAAAGGGAACACATGAAGGGATTCCTATCCGTGAAATATTTTATACATCAACCTCTAACAGAGCTTTATAATGCTTCCAAGGAGAGTGCCAAAAGCTGTACATATATATTAGAAAGGGGTGACGGAACTTCTCCCCGAATTCCCACGGCAAGTGACAGTGATCGCGCGGCGGCTGCCCCTATCCTTCCACCGGAAATCCAATCGTTCCCCTTCATTGCGCGCGAATGCGTGCGATCGGGTGCAGCGTCGTTTTCGGGGAGAAGATACCGGACCCATATAGAAAGCCTACATTCGCCTCTGCAAAGCCTTTCCCACAAAACAGAACAAATACAGCATCCCGTAGGGTACTTTATTTTTTCGTGGGGGCTGATATAATTACTAGCCTTTCGTGTGGCACACAATGGAGGTTGCAGAATGGAAAGCATAATAAATAGACCAAGCCATCCAAAAGCAAGCACACATCCGAGGAATGGTAGCATTTTAGGTGCATCATATTTTGACAGATGATTCCCTCTACATTCAGCGCCCACCGAACAACATCCTAAAGGCACGGTAGGAAGTCTTGACTACAGAAGTGGAACAGAAGCAGCAGCTAGAAGATAGGGTTTGCACTAGATTGGCATGACGGAAATGGCATGGAAGGGGTATTCGGATGAGATTTCAGTTGTTGAAATTGTGCAAAGAGCCGACTACATCAAGCTAAAATTGTCTAATACTGCCTTCCACTGTCACCATAGGTCACGGAAATCTAACTGAACTTTCTGCATGGGTGTCTCTGTGCGTGGTGCAGAATATATGTTCCGCCTTTGGTGTGGCGTACAACCGATACTATCTTGGTGCCCTTGTACTGTCCTATCTGAGCCGTGTTCCTACTTTACACCGGCACATATGTTATACGAGGGGATCACATTTTTATCCTAGAAGGACATCTCAGCGACCATTTTTATGTTGGACTGTGCCTTTGAAGGGGCTGCCATTTGTGAGTTATTGCTTAGAGCTGGCTATAATAAGCCAAAAAATGTTGTCCAATGTCGCCATGGTCACGAGGAAATGCTTGGATTTTCAACATGTGTGCGCCATCGTAAATGGTGCACCCTAAACAAGGCCGTCATCACATAATCACTTTTGGGTGTGCACGTCTCGCAGCCCATATGAAGCCCCGTCTAGGTCGTTGCCGACAGTTTTGCTATCACTGAGGGGCACAGGGTTCATCTTAAAGAGATACCTCAGAAAACGTTTCCATGGTGAATTATGTCTTTCGCTGCCTACTGTCTCATCAGAAGAATTGGAACCCTAAAATCATGTCAGCTAAACATTCCATAGTAGTCTTGCTTCAATGCATGCTACACGCAATACAACAGCAGCAACATAGCAATACCTTCTCCACAATTAGATCTATCGTTGGGCCATGACAGATCATCCGTCCTCGTAACATGGAAGTAAACGGATCTAGTCTAAGGGAAATCTTGATTGGGAGATAAGACCTATTCTACTGTTAAAGGCATAGTTCACGATAAAAATGTTTCTAAAATTCCCCCACAAGAAGAATTAAATGCCCCCGCGTATGCCATATCTGGCACTATTAGGTCGGAAAACGGCCTAGTTAGGGGGCTATAAAGGCTCAAAGATTGGCCCGCCTGTATCCTCGGACGAGTTTCACCGACATTGTAGAGGCTGCACATCACAAGGGAACCCAAGCAGGAAGTTCAAACAACTTGTCATTACCCATAGCGACAGTGAAAGACAGTTCTGTACAGTTCTGGCTTGATGTAATCAGTTCTTTGTGCAATTGCAATAACTGAAATCTCGTCCGAATACTCCTACCATGTTATTTCCATCATTTCAGTCTCGTCCAAACGCTATTTCCCCTACTTTTGAAGAGCCATATTTTTCTCGACATTAGCGAAATCTCTCGCTTTCTCCACTACCGATGAACTACTCCCAATCTATACTTTCGCTTTTCGAATAAAGACGGGTATCTCAAAATTATCGTGAACTGTGCCTTTAATCATAAAATGTTCGCACTAGACAGGACGCTACAGTAACACGAAAAAGTCATGCCTAAGGAGTAATCACCTAAAACAAGCTGGGCTCAAATAATCCATTAGCACTGCTTGGCTTGTGTTTGCAACTTTGAACCGCTGAACTGTCGGACCACGAAAGTATATTGAAAATCTTTTAACCGGTAGTACTGAACCTATTGGCAAGGCGAAACAAAACACGGGGCAGTTAACGCGATAACTCGACACTTGTACAGTACATATGGCAATGAACATTGGAACATGATACACGGACAAAATACGATTCGCTTGAACATAAAATCCTCTAAACGACTTATTATGTAGGACAATAGCATCAATTGCGAAAGCAATTAGTGAAGATCAGGACTGTCTCATTGAGATAACTGAGAAAACGATTTGATAATTAGAAGAGCCATCTGAATGCACGGCGCACCACAGCTGGTACGGACGACCATTCAAATGTAATAACCTTGTCGTCACCAGACTTGATCGTAGCCTGAATCAGTCCATTCAGTGCAGCCCTTTGACAACGGAAAGGAGATAATGAGTTCCAATATTTAGGTGCAACTCACCTTGTACTTCATTTTCTGCTGAGACGGTTCAGCATCACTTCGTACGGATCCCGCCGATTGTTGGGCATTAGCATGTAGATATTGCGCCAAAAGCTGAGCTATGCGGTCGAATCTAAAGAAGATGAGACGTTGCAAGCAAGTACCAAGCCCCTTTACGTCTATCAGAAACGTACGAGTTGGCTGCATTGACACACGTATTCGGATCGAGTGGATCTCTAGTCATTCCATACGGGCAAGCACAGTAATGACCGCCCGGAATATTGACACATCCATGAGAGCAGCCACCGTTTCCGGCCGCACATTCGTCGATATCTAGGGAGACCAAATGAGTAACTTGAGCACTAACCGTGATCTCACGATTTCCAACAAAATGGATGAGAAATGAACAGATCCAATGCTGAGTAATCGATTAGGCGGAAAGCAAACAATAAATTATGAAAAAACAGAGCTTTTTTTCAGAGCAGCTGGATTTTTCGTTGTACGAGAATACGGGTCTTCGGAGAGTTGCCTCTTTTTGAAGGAGTGGGCAATAACGTAAGCAAGCGACTGCCCGAGTATTACGCCCTGCCATGTCTTCTATTGCTAATTGGTTGAACTGTCCACCTCCAGAAGGCTTTTGGTAAACCATTCAGGGGGCGACAGGACAACTGACAATTTTTTTAGAGGGACTTCGAGTCTTCAGGGTCTATTTAGGCCTTTTTTGCTGTCTAACCGCCGCACATCGCCCTCCTCAACACCAACGTTTCCTCAAACAAAGCAAATTGAAAAGCCAACTCAATGGCGGTGTTTCCACGCAGGCATGAATTTCTAAACAGCAACCCTAACGATACAATAGGGTACAGGATCGTGGACCTCATCACTACTCCGTCACCCACTGCATTACGATGCTACGAAAACGGGGTTTTTACAGGGAACTACTTGCAAAATTTCAATAAAGGGTCTTTCATTATATGACTGAAGATGATTAGATGGTAAGATGAGAATACTTACCGTAACACTGTCCTTTCATATGTACATATCCGAACGGACATCGTCCAGCATGTGCCTTGATCTGGAAAAAGCAGAATACTAAAATGATGGGGGAATCGGAAAATGGGTAACTTACCTTGCACGGGCATTCATCGGCTGACGCAGGTGGAAGTGTAGAGATAGGACGATACTCATCCACGACCAAATCGCAAGACGGCCTCAGAATAGCTTCACCTCGATCACACAAGCAGTTGCACGGCGCCATTTGAACTGGTTCGTAATTATCTGGTGCTGTGGTGTCTGAAGTGAAGGATACTTTAACACAATCAATCACGAAGTACTTTACTATTCGTTAAGGATATGCCACGAAGGTGACGTTAAAAGAGAAAAGCAATACTGACTCCTGGTGATAAGCACTGGTGCACAACTGTCACTCTCCGCTGAGAGCGTTGAAACGTTGCTCATCAGATGAGATGCGATAACGCAAACGACGTATTCATGATCCGTGGGAAGATCCTGTAAGATTGAGTTTGGGATGTAATTTTTAAATGGTCCAGCCATAGACCTAGAAGTGGGCACGTTTTATTTCTCTAACAAGGCAACCATAGACTTTCATAAAATGTATAAAGGGTCAAAGAGCTAAGATTCAAAGGTAGAATCAGAGTCAATGGTCTGAGAAAGCTTTATGAGTCCCGTTAGGAGCTGTACTGTTTCGGAAGCATTTGAAACTATTAGCTTGTAATCATATGGAAACAAAGTTGCAAAAATCAATGTTACAATGTTTCAAAACCACAGGAACCCAGTATTCATAATATCCTTCATTTAATGAACGTATGGCCCTGCTCAAATATTATGCACCTGATCTGCGCCACGCCGCATCATTAATGGGGCACAATGAATTGAGTGCAGTTTTAACAATCAGTTTACTTTTTAACATATCAAAGGAAGTATCACGTTGGTCTACTATACAGCTAATAGCATAGCCTTTTCTGTGATCACTCTGATCTTTTGACCTGCTTCTTTAAGCACCAGAAGATCAAGAGGTTGAACATTTGATGGTTAAATGAATTTCAAGGTGAAGCGCCGTTATGTACTGTTCCTCGTCCCGGTGTCTCTCAGAAGGTAGTATAATCACAAGACTGCGCGATTCATAGCAATTCAGACCACAAAAACCACGAAATTATTCTGGAGCACATCATAAATAGCGAAATGCTTCAATATGCTTTGCGACTGGCAATGGTCATTTTCAAGAGACACCGTTCCGCCACTTTGTCAGGATTTTACGCTAGAGTTATTTTGACATTCAGAGTTCATTCATAAATAAGAAAAAGATCGATCGCTCGAAAGCTTCTCTATCACTGAATGATTACTAAACGATTAACCTGTATGGTCGTCCCGAAACTGTCTCTGCAGGTAGCAGTTCGTCGCTGCCAGTGCTTTTGTGGTATGGAAGTGTCATGAGTGTAGAGTATAGTATAGTTCTGAAGAAACATCATTCAAGTAATGCAGTAAACGATGAAAGAATAAGTTTTTTATACGAACTGCTTTTCTGTTCGTGCAGCAAGTCCAGGACACTGAGAAAGATGACGGCGACAAAGGAACGGCTTCAACATTCGTTGGTACCGATAGAGCAACCGGTGCTGCTATAAATGATCAAATTTCGTTATACTTCCTGGGCATAACTGCATGGCCTTCCTAAATGAATCCTTATCGTACTTGTTGTTTTCCTAGCATGGGTACTCTTTGCTTTGGTTGTAGGTGCACTTGTTCTCATTGTGGACATTGTGACGTAGTCGCAAATTGAGTATGCAAACCAGCTGTTGAAGAGCTCGTTCGGAGATGTCCAGTCAAGATGAATCACCCTGACAATTCAAAATTATTTATCTGATATAACTGCTCACTGAAAGCGTCCCTATGGGGAAGGGTCGAAGAAATGTTGTACCTTGTCCCTGACCCGGTCATCTTTGTCAGAAGATCGGTAGATGGTTTTCGAACAGACAACCCGATTATGTTATGGCCAAAGTCACCAGTGGCAAACTCCGCCGATGGGAGTGCGGCATCACTGAAAAGAACAGCTGCAATTTTTGAAGTACGGTGTTATCATCTGACTAAGTTGCTTCTAGTCTACCTGCTGGTACTATCCGCGCTGATAATGAGCATTATTCTGTACGTGCCACGGATGTAATTGTCATTGGACATCTCTACGAGGCTGTCAATACCCAGACCTAGTTTCGCTGATTCGTCGTCGTCACTGAAAAGGCAATGAATGTGGCTCAGTAAGGACGGTGCAGTTAGTGAACTCACATATTTTGTGCAATGTCACTCAGACTGTAGGTGACTTCGCCAACCAACAAACCAGCACGAGCATCCAAGACCTTCTTACTGTTCACCGTCATTATATTGAATCTAAAATGTTCAAAGGCATCACAGAGAGGTCATATTAATGAAGGTAAGCTTAGCACTTACAGCAACATATTATCATCAGGTGCAAAACGTTTCTGGAAGAACATTGAGATGTGGTCCAGAGCAAGGCGGAAATCCTTAAATACCACAAAATTAATATGTTCAAAAAACCAAAGAACCACTTTATTGAACTTACTTCGGGAGACGAACGAGCTGTCACGTCTATGAGGATATTGAATTGGTAAGGTCGTTTGATGCCATCACTGCAGAGTGGCGGGAACTTCACTGCACGTGGTCCGCTCCATGGAGTATAACTGCAAAACACAAAATCAAAAAAAAAAAAACTGTTTCACATTGTCAGAGCAGAACGAACATACCTAGCGGCTTGTACATCTCTCTTGGTAGTGCGATGGAACGGTGTTTCGGTAGGAGTGACACCATGAGCTGGAGTGGTGTACCCACAAAGGTGGCGACTTATAGCTGCTGTGTGGTCATCTAGTTCATAAGCAGTTCCCACTTCATATACTCGATCAGGATATTCATTTCCTTAAATGATAACACATCGGTCTTTCCCTAATTCGCTCACCAATCAATTTTTCAAGGCCTAAGACAAGGAGGAAGGGTTAAAGATGATTTTACACTTGCTAGCATGCAAAAAAGCGAAAATATTTCCAATGAACAAATGTAGCGCATCGATTGATGAAACGACATCCTGCACAAATCCTTGCACTGTACCCTTTAGTTCATCAATGCACAGTAGCTTATATAAAAACAACAAATCCGTTATGGTACGATAAATTCTATTGATCTTCAGCCGGCAACAAGGAATGAATGTTCGGGCTTCATGAATAAAAAAAGGGAATAACCTGGGCGCCAGAAGATCAAGATCAGGAAAAGAGGTTTCAATTATAAGTACCCATAACTTAGGTCAACAGAGAAGGGCTGATTACTCGAAAAGCAAAGCAGTGACTCGACTACGAACGGCCAGAATGAAATTCTTCTGATTTCAGATAGTGATTGAAAGGTTGCCTCTTTTCCAAAGAGTACATTGTGAACAAACCCCCCCCCCCCCCCCCCCCCCCCAGGAAAACTATCATGATGTCAACGATAATGGCAATGTTGTCATAAGTGCTGGGAATAAATCATTACCAGCTATGCGTTTGAGCGTTGCAAGCCCTTCGGCATCGGCTCCAACAGCTAGGATGAACAACTGAACGTTATAAATGTTCCGAAGATCTTCAGCCGCTGGTGCTGCATTTCCTCTGCAAAAGAAACTCATCTAGATATCCGAAAATTAGGAATGGCTTCTGATAAGAAAAGAAAACCAATACGAACCTATTTCTTCCATTTGTTATCATAATCACAACACGAGTTGCATTGTCCCTTCCGTGTAGCTGAAATAGTTTGAGAAAAATGACAAAATATCCTACTACATAGCTCATATAAGATGATGGGTGAGAACCTGGAACTGTTGTCGAGCAGCATTTAGGCCATAGAGAGCGATTGCTACGCCATCGTTGGTCTTTTCAGTGTCCGAAATTTGCTGGATTAGGTCTATTTTGTCGTCGTAATGGCCAAGTGCAACCGGAACTGCTACTTTGTCACTGAAACTCTTCATTAGAGTTTTTGCTTGTCATTTATCGTCTGTTTCTACCAAGCGCAAATCAAAAACATATGCATCCCTTGTGAGAAACTGCGCTACTCCGCATCAAATGAACGTAACCTTCGAATGCTGCTGTGCTACTGTGGAATCTAATGCCACCTAGGATCAGTCATTGGAAGCAAGCATTCCATACTTTACGAAAACACCACAGTAGAGTCTTAGGAGTTGATCGGTCCCGATTTGGATTGCGCTCACATAGCCGGCTTTTGCTTAGAGTAGTAGTCGAGCTTAAATGAGTATTTAGCCTAAGCACTGATTTAGGGTGAGGGAGGAGCGGCAGCGGATCAGTATACTTCTATCTTCTCAGACCCATCTGCCACCAAACAATCGAATGTGAAAACCCGTGCAACTGAATAGTCAAGCTTGGGTGTGGTGTAGTAGGATCGAAATTGTGACGTCGCGGCGAGAGGGACGCCGCGCGCGAGGGATTGTAGCAGAAAGCAGCAGCAGGTAAAAAATACAGGAACAAAAGGTTAACAGTAGTGTCGTGCCCCAAAACAATGATCGCATATCGATTGAGCCGTACAGAGAACGCTGGTGCTGTAATAACGGCGAAGGATTGGTCAGCGACTGCCGCATGCGACGAATCGATTACACAAAATCGATCCTACTGCCCGTTTTCCGCTAAGCTTTGATTTGGAGCAGAACGTTGCTTTATACAACATCACCTTAGAAATCACTGCCACCTTGGAAATTGTAATAAATCACCGATAAAAATAATTACGAGTACCTATTGCATCTAAAAACAGGGATGGGGTACTCAAGAGGCAACCGGTCTAAGCCACCTTAACCCTCCAGCCCTCTATATCAAGAGCCTACAAGTATGTGATTTGGACATCAACTAGCTCTGTAAGGCCCTGTGTATTTGAGCATAAATTTGAAATCTCATCGATTTCGAGTAGAGTTGAAAAGGTCAACGCATTTCAAAATAGGACTGGTCAACAACAAAAACTCCCATTCCCTATAATGTCTCACAAAGGTGTAGTTCAAGTTGGAAGTGCAGTTCGTGCACCCGTATAATTCATTAACAAGAGCCGGAATAAAAGCTGTTGATGAAATTTCTTTTTATAGTGGCACCCACTAAAACTAAAGTGTCTAATTGATTCAGTCGGGCAATTGTGTGTGTAATCAACTTAGGGAAAAGCGACTATGTTCCTGACTATGGCTTGATCAACTGTATGGAGTGCTTAATCAGTTTTGAATTCATAGCTCGAAAGAAGCAGCCTTGGCATGGCCTCCCAAACACCCTCGTCCCAGTGCAGTAGAAAAGTCATACAAACTTGAACATGCCTGTAAACTACGAAGCCAATTCTGGCTAGATCGGGTGCGAGATCAAATCCTGCGTCGACCAACTCGGCGACACTCTCCCTCATTTCCTCATATTCTTCTTGCGAGAAATTTTCGGAAGAATCTAACATAATGATGACATCGGCCTGAAGCAGTTGGACGTAAATTCCGTTTCGGATTGGTCAATAATGCTTGAGAACTCACTGGGTAGTCAATTTGGCTGCATGATCGAACAGGCTGAGATGCTTGAGATGTAACTTTTCTTGATGGCCATGTAACAGTGGACGAAGGATCAGCTGGAGCAATCTACAACAAACACAATTGAGAAAATTATTTGAGAATTCATAGATTCCCTTTAAAAACAGCCTACTGCAGGGGTATCATGCAGAGAACAAATGCCAATTATGATCAAACTAAAATCCCGCTTGTCTCACCTTGCAGATTGCATCAGCAATCGGTCCCAAAACCTCCGAATCAGTCCCTCTCCACTGAGGAATGCGGATAATTTTGTCCTTAGACGTTATTTGAGAGTCCTGCTCGAAACTTGCGTCATCACCAGCTTCGACCACGAATATCTCTGCTCCAATGTCGTTTTTGAGAGCATCAACTTCTTCTTGGAAATCATCTCTGAAACGAAATTGCATTTTAACCTAAGATGTTACGCCTTCACGCACTTGACAGTCACTTATTGTGGGACCAATTTAATTTTCGGGAATTTCTGCAGGAACCTATGCAACCCGATATGTTTGTACAGTTACAACCGAAGCGATGAACATTTGATTCGACCAAGAGTTTCATTCACAGGAACTATCCAACTAAGGTTATGCCGAGGTCTCCCATCGGATCCTTCAATGAAAACCTCGTGCTCAGACGGAGCACTTGGCTCGAGTCAAAAACTGATTGGGACCAACACCGTAGCCTTTTGTTTCCTTGCAGATGTCACATCACTACCGTCTGGCTTCGGAATACTTGAACTAATAAAATAACTTCCAAAATTTCCAAATATCGCATCCTAATCGTAACTAAATCTATCCTTAAAGAGGCGAATGCTACGAGTTTTAGGCCAGGAATTCGTTGAAGCTCGACCCGACCACACTTGCTTTGCAGTAGTGGTGGGCGTCTACCGATTTGCAAGCGTTTGCTTGTAAGCATCAGGATTTCATGAAATGAAATAATGTCATGTCGTGGGATGAAGCATAGCGTATCTGGAGGCCTTCAAAGTACGGCGATGAGCGTTGAGCGTGAAGCGCGGTGCTCCAAACCAAACACCGACAGCAGCGTGGAGATGCAAAAGCGTTGGCGCCTACCTATCCTGCGTTGTCAACACGTGGCCAGCAACGCCATCAGACGGTTGGCCGGTCGGTTGAAACTATGCATGTCGTTGAGCTCTGAGAACACCCACAGAATCATAAAAAGGCCACGGAACGATACCTCAGTCAGAGGGCGCAGACGAGCAGAAAGTTTCTAAAGACGAGCAGATTGGCTGCTGCTCCCACCCAACCAGCACTTCTTCTTTTGCTTTGTTTTGCTTTCGTTTTTGCTAACATTTTGCTTTTTGATCGATTTACAGGCGCACTTTCTTTTGAGTTCTCTCCCAGTGAATTAGGCTTCACTGAAGAAGAATATGTCATGAGGTTTCTCGCTTCTACTGAATTTCAAAAAGTCGAGTTAAACATGGGCCATTAAGTGGGGACGACTCTTCAACGCACCCTTAATTTATCTATTTAAGAAGTTGTAAAAGTTCTGAGCACAATTAAATCACAGTAGTTCATGACTCTATTCAAACGTTATGTGAGAAATGATGTATTTGTTATGTAACCATATATACATAGGTAGTGCCTTACTAACGTATGTTCCCACTACAAGTTTCTTTTCCTTCAAAATGAGCGAGTTCCATTGAATGGGAAACCAGCTCAATATTCTTCAATACCCCTGAAGCGCCGAATCAAGCAAAGAACCTGTTTGTTTGATCATTCTGTTTCTATTTTTTATATCGTTTGCTGGCCCTTGGATCTCCAGTTTATTTAGTATTATATATAGTAGAGATGAGCATGAAGAAATGGCTACGGTGCTTTACCCTAAGGGGCGTGTCACACAGTTTTCAAAAAAAAAAATCCTAAAGAGTATTCAAAACTATACACCGCACAAAAAAGAAACAGTGATAGCATGTATACGCCGGGGCGTATACATGCCATCATTGCATTCGTACATTTAGGAAGTTACTTCAGTGTTACGAAAGAGGACACGGAATAAGCATGCTGTCAAATGTCACTGCAACCATTCTTTAAACGGCAATGACAACGAGATGTAACTTTGCAGTTTCCCATCACGGCTCAAGTGAAATCTCTATGCTCGCTCCCTAAACCTAGGGTCAGCCTAGGTCTAGGTTTAGGGACGCGTTACCGAACCAATCAGTAGTTTTCTGAGAAAGAAAAAAACCAAGTACAACTAAAGCAAAACTTACGAGGAAACACCGTTCTTGAATAGCAGCACGAATTTCGGCACCTCATCCACTCCAGAAATCAGGATTTCTCCAGCAACCTCCTTCAGTGCTGATCCCAGCAAAGGTTTTCCCTTCACACGCTTTGCTTCGCTTATTCGATGTAAAAGATCATCCACGTAATCGTAGTCACCGAGTGAAATAGGCACCTCTGCTGTTTCTCCGTATTTCACAAGACCAACACGAACTCTGTTCCGAGTCATGTCGAAATGATCAGATAAGAAACTCTTGAGAAGTTCCTTCATTACGCGATAGTCTAGGACTTTAACTGTGTTGGATGTGTCAAGGACAACTATCAGTTCGATGTGAGAGGAAACAAGACAGTGCGCAGAATGCCTTCTGAATGGAGGAATGACATACTCTCCAAAGGTGTTCGTAGGAAATGGCTCGTTGGCGTGGTCCAGTGGACGTCCAATATGATCGGTAGGAAGAGGCATACCGTTCTCTCCAATTGCATTTCCATACTGATCGGTTGGAAGTGGTAGACCATCCTCACTTACGGCAATGTACGGAACTGACCTTCCACTGGCAAGAGTGGGGACTGTAAGTCTATCTCTGGTAGCGCTTGGCGGCAGTCCATCTGGTCTTGTTACGGGATATATAACATTTCCACTTTCATCTGTCGGGAAAGGTATAATGACGTAGTTACCTGAGGCATCAGTAGGCAACGGCAAGCCGTCTTCCCCTAGCGGTTTCCCGCTCGAATCTGTTGGAACCGCTTTGCCATCCTGTCTAATGTAAGAGGCATGATGGTCCGTCGGAAGCGGACTTCCATCTTCTCCTACAACAGTGTAGATAGGGCGTTTGTGCATATCTGTAGGAAGCGGACTTCCATCAGGTCCAACTGCAGGATAGATGTAGTAACCCGATTCATCTGTTGGCAGTACATGGCCGTCAGGTCCTAATGGCCTTCCACTCTTGTCTTTCTCAATGATGATACCCTCATCAGTGACGTAGTTTCCAGAAGTGTCTGTTGGTAACGGTGAG